GCGATTTAGTCGTCGACGCAGGCCCAGCACGCCCGACTGCCCTTCATAACCCCCAGCAATTTCTGCGCCGAACCGGCGGGGCGGACCGCGCGGCCGCCGTCATTCGCGCAGAAGTCGAAGATGCGAAACCCGGGGTCGTCGAAGTAGAAGACCGCGCGCCGCCTATCACATGATGCCGGCGATAATGCAACGCACGCAGCGCCCAACTTGTCAGCTTCAGTCATTCTCCACCGTTGCCACTGGTTGCGATCAAGGTCCGCGATCACGTCAGCGCACCGAGACACAACCGAACGCCCACAAGCGGCAGCGACAAACTCGTAGTTCAGTGCACAGCTGCACTTGAACACGTCCAGCATGTCGTTCCCAGCTGCGTCTGCAGTTGCGACCTTGGTTGCACGTTGAGCTTGCTTGTGCGCCTTCATGACATGGTTCAGAGGCCGCGCCAAAATCTGAAAATAGAAAATATGACTGCCACCGATGCCCTGGCCAAAACTGCGCAGCAGCCCACCCGCCTCCACAGCAGCCTTCGCATCTCAGCTCAGCTCATCGACGCTCCTGGCCCCCTGCGCTGCAACATTCGCATCGTCAACCCCCCTTTGAGTCCGCATATTCCTGAGCGCCCGCGGCAACAACTCATGCTGACCCCCCCCCCCCCCCTCGGGAGGCAATGGCGAGAGCTGCGTCTTTGTGCTCCCACCTGGAAATAATACCGCTGGACACCCAGGGACAAAGCAAGTCCGAGCTCAGGCTTTTTCAATTGGCTTGTCGTGGTCTGCGCTGGCGCACCCGCTAGGACAGTTGCCGACGACGCAGTAGTGACTGATGCATTTAGTATACGTCCACAAACCTTTGTCGCGATCGGCGGTCGCTTTGCACCGGGCCCCGGATAAACCACCGAACGCCTGAGAAACCGTGATAATCCAAGAAGAACCTGCTTGCCAAAATCGATTCTTGTGGCAGCATCGTTTGCGCGCACTTTCGTCATGGTCTTCACTCTGTCCAGTAGCGCTTGCGATCGACCCGCACCACCATTGCACAAATTGACGCGAATGTTGCCGCCGTTGCACGCGCTCAACTTCCGCTTCCGACTTCTCATCGCTGCCAAATTCGCTTGAGGAGGCGTTTGAGTCGGGCTGTGCATCTGAGCACACCGCCACGCTGATGTCGAGTCTGGTGCCGCCTTGGCAAACACATACTCCAACGAGTTCAAGCATGGCACGGCATTTTTTCTCCCAACGGCCTTGCCCTTTTTCCTGCCAGTGCGTCCGTTCCTCTTGTCGAAAGCCGCGCGGGCATGTATGTCCTTGGAAGTCATCGGTTTGCGAAGCCACATTGACGCCTCGTCTGTCAGATCGCTGGCAATCCTGGACACTGCGTTGGCGAGGTGGTGGCACCATGCGCATGGTGTTGCAGCGATGTGCAAAAGCACTCCTCTGACGTTCAATCGGTAATGGTGTCGGGTCTTGTCGATGTCCATCGTGGTGTTTGCACTGATCGTCACCCGCGATTGTTTGAGAACTCGCCCGCGCCCATGGTGCCCGAAATCGAACACGTCGCTCGACGCTTGGCTCGTCAACCTTGGGTTTGCAACGGAAGCTGCTACCGCCCGCTGCTCCGCAAGACGTCTGGACTTTACCCGTTGTTTCCCCTGGAAGAGGCGAGCTTGGCGGCCGAGCGGGGCACCTGGAGGGGCGGGCGGTGGGGCAGCTGGTACTGGTGTTGGTAGAGCTGCTGCTGCTGGCGCAGCTGGTGCTGCGGGCTCTGGTGGCGGTGCCGGGCCCCCCTCTCCAGCAGCACCACTGCGAAACCCAAGCATGAAGGACGCGAGCGACGCCGATGCGAGCATCTGATATGGAAAGCTATGGATATGGAGCGTCTTCCTGAAACCAGATGCGAAATTTCTGAGGCAAGCCCAAAGGCTACACACGGAGGAGGAGGAGCAGGAGGGGAGCAGCGCGAGAGGATGGGGGATGATGGGGCAGGGGGAGCAGGATCAGCAGTAAGGCAAGGCTGAGTAGTGGACGAGACAGAACCAGTAAGAAGGAGGGCAAAATAAGAATCTTCAGAAAGGCCCACGTTGCGGCCAAATCCCTTCAGACGGCTTCAGGATGGAACACCGCATGGGGACGTTCAATCAAACAGTAACGCCCCCGTGCCCACAACAGCGAATGCTGGAGACATCCCAGAAACAGTATTATGCTTCGCTTGTCGTTTGTCTCATCGTCCTCTTCCTCCCTGTTGTCCTCTTCTCTCTCCTCCTTCCACTACTCCCCATTACCCGAGCCCCTCCACTGGTGAAGACTGCCGACAAGAGAACATTTGCAAGCGACGTTTTCCGTACATTCTAGCGTCGCTCCTACGTACTCACGAACACAATTGCTAAACATGTCTTCGTACGCCTACAAATGATGGACTGAATATTATTGCTTGGCATATGCGGCATATGTTATACTGTGTTATGATATCGAGGCCGACTGAACACAGGTGTACGCCCTTGGACGTTGTCGTTTGGAATCCCCGCGGCGTCTTCACTGATTTCACCTAGACCGCCCTATACAACTCCTCCTCCTCCTCCTGCTCCTCGTCCGCCTCCTTCTCCTCCTTCTCCTCCTCCTCTTACCTGCTCCTCCTCCTCCTCAATTTCCTCCTCCTCCTCATCCTCCCTTTTTCCCCACCCCTCCTCCTCCTCCTCCTCCTCCTCCTCCTCCTCCTCCTCCTCCTCCTCCTCCTCCTCCTCCTCCTCCTCCCCCGCCTCCCATTCCTCCCCTCCCTCGCAATGCCAGTCCTTAGTCTTCCCTCCGCGTATGCTTGACGATCGTTTCTGCATGGGTTGGGGGGCGCGGGCGAAGCGGCGGCAAGGCTTTGGTATTGGCCGTACGGGGTAGTTGACCTGTCTGCGTCACTGTGAGTCCCCAGGGGGAGGACGAGTGGACGGAGGAGCCAGGAGGAGATGCCATAAGGATCTCTGAGGCTGCACTGCACGCCGTGCGGCAGCGCCCTCGCAGCGCATGTGATCCGCACCATTGCAGCATTCCCCCACCGTCCTGCTGCAGTGTGGATCGAACCCGCCAGGGCCGAAGCAGGTCTTCTCTGAAGAAGCCCCGAGGCATGAAGCAGGGGGATCCTCACGAGGAAGCCCAGAGGCATGAAGCGCAAAGGCTTCCCGCTGAACTCAAAGGAGCACCCCAAGATCCTGCTGCAGCTGTGAGGGCGAAGAGAACTGTGCACACGCACCGATCCTGGTGAGGCCCATCCCTGACCCGGGATCGGTGCAGATGCTTTCCTGGCCACTGCAGGAGGGCGTGTGCACCGATCCTGGGCTCAGGATGGGCCTGGCCAGGATCGGTGCATGTGCATACAGTCGGGGCCTTGACCTAAGGAACCCAAAATAAGGAACGAGGCCCCTTTTTTTCCGTGTTGTGTTCGGCGGCGAGCGAGGGGGGGAAGGGAGAAGGAGAAGGCCTCATCAAAGGCTCGGCAATCCCCCGGCCTTCTGAGAAGTTTCCTGAGCCTCCCCCGAGCCGCAGAACACTTCTCGGAAGACGCGAGGGCTTCTGAGGAGTCCCGCCGCCTTCTGCGGAGGCCTTCTACTTCTCATTCCCCCCCTCGCTGGCCGCCGAGCGGTGACAGACCGTGCGGTGACCTCGAAGTCGAGAGAGGCAGCAAAGCGCGGTCCGCCACCGCACGGGCCGGGGGACCTGGGAGAGCCCCGTCGCCCGAGGCCTCGATTCGGAGCGCGGCCCGGGATCCCAAAACCGTGCGGCGAGCCCGAATCCCCACTGCCGTACTGCCACACGGTGTTGTCGCCACACCGATCGGGGTAACCCCCCCGACAAGCGAGGCCGTTTCGTAAACGCGCCCAAAGAAGGAATCCGACAGGGCAGGGCTGTTCAGTAAGCGCCCAATGCCGTCCAGCAAATGCCAGTGATTATTATCGGGTCCGGGTGGTTTTTCTTCCCTTGCAGCAAGCCCCCGTGGTTCGGCACCGGGCGAACGCCCAGCGAGGAGCGGGAGCGGCAGCAACGGCCAGGAAGGCCTGCGGGGTGACCCCTCCCCTGGAATGGGGACGACGGCGACGTCGACGAGGGCGACGAGGACCCTTGTCGTCGACGAGGACGAGGACGAGGTCGTCGAGGACGAGGTCGACGACGACGACGACGGAGACTCTTCTCGTCGGCGAGGACGACGTCGACGAGGACGATGGCGACGTCGACGAGGACCCTTCTCGTCGTAGACGAGGCCGGCTGCGCTCAGACGAGTGGGGCCTATCTGGAAGCTATCCAGCTCTCCAGCTTATCTCAGCTGGCCCTCCTCTGAGGCACAGCGACTGGGCGTTGCTAAATGGTGCGGGCGAGGATCGGAGAAAAGGAGGTGGATGGCGCGGAGGGCGGCTGTGAGCGCGCACCTGTCAAGCGCCTTCTTGGCCCCAAGAGGCCCCTTTGGGGCCCCGAAAGGCCAATTGATCGCCCGGCCCCCCCCGCAGGACGCAATGACCGACATGATCGGGGATGTACTGACTCGGGTCAGTCCAAACCCAGGCCAGTCGGGCTTTGCAAGATCCGGCGAGATCCTGCAGAATCCTGAAGGACCCTGCGCGCTGGCCCGTGCCACTGCACTCTTACCTTTGCAGGATCCTGCTAGATCTGGCGCTCTGGCTTGGGGAACCACAAGTCACCGATACCGCTACTCCCCGGACATTTCCCCGGGTGCGTTCTGACCAGTATTCCGAGGCGAATCCAGCGGTGGCGACGAGGGCCTCCCAAGATTCCGAAAAAGGGGGAAGCGGGCCGAAGGGTAGGCTGAGGAAGAGGAGGAGGAGGAGGAGGAGGAGGAGGAGGAGGTGGAGGAGGAGGAGGGGGAGGTGGAAGAGGAGCAGGAGGAGGGTTCCTGGCCCCAGACTGCTGGAGGGGGGGCGGCGCTGAAGGGGGGGCCCCGAGACTCGGCGCCGGGTGGCCGCCCCGAGAGCTGGCGCGGGAGGCGGGAGCGGCGGGGGGGAGGGCCTGAGGCCCCCACACCGTGGGGTCTGCCGCCGCGGCGTGGCTCCCGGCCTCGGCAAGCCGAACGGTCGTCGTCGACGTCGACGTCGCCGTCGTGGTCAATGTCGCCGTCGTCGTCGTCGCCGACGTCGTCGTCGTCGACGTCGCCGCCGCCGCCGCCGTCGTCGTCGTCGTCGTCGTCGTCGTCGTCGTCCTGCTCCCTCCAGCTCGGCTGACCACGCGAGCGCCTGGACCTGTGGAGGCGCGCCGTGTCCTAAACTTCGGAGCGGATCCACGCAAGGCGACGGAAGGTGGATCTCGAAACCCCCGAGGAAGCGGAATATGAAGACCCTCGTTCCCCAATCGAGCTAGCAAGTCGGAAGTCCAGTCCAGCGAAGCCAGTGGCAACCCTCCCGAGAGAGGAAGGCTGGAAGGAAGGGGGGCGCACCGGCCGCGACTGGGGGAGCTGCTGCCCGTACACCCTGGGGAACCCCCTCGTACCGGCGGTCTCCCGAAAGGGATGTAAAGCCGAAAGGCCCCCCAGGTGGGGTCAGGGGAAGCCCCTCCTCCTGGGAAGTCCAGCGGAGTGGAATTGCACGGGGATGCAATTGATGCCTCGCGGTTTTGGCGGGGCTGCGAATTGTGGAGCGTTCGCCACTTTCGTTGGCTCCTGGGAGGTCCAGCGGAGTGAAGTTGTACGGGGATCCAGTAGAAACCCCGCTGTTCCCCGGGGGTGGCTGCGAATAGCGAAAGTGTCACCACATGCTTGGGTTCCTGGGAGCTCCAATGGAGTTGTACGGGATCCGATTGAGACCTCGCAGCTCCCTGAGGGGCCGCGAAATTTAATGTTGCCACTTTCGTGGGCCCCTGGGAGGTCCAGCGTGGTGAAGTCCTGCGGGGATCCAGTTGAGACCTCGCGGCTCCCTGGGGGGCTGCGAAGTGTGAAATTGTCGCCTCTCTCGTGGGCTCCTGGGATGTCCAGCGGAATGGAGTTGCACGGGGATCCAGCCCGGCGCTGTCGCACCGCAAGTCGCGTGGACCCGCTGCGCCACGCAGCGCACGGCGATGTATCCGGCCATGCCTCTGGCTCGCCATGCCACCCCGTACGCTCGCCTCTCCCAGCGCGCCGTCTGCTATAGAGCCCACGGCTCTGTTCTGCCCCGCGCATGTAGCGGTCGGCGCGACTGCTGTTATTGAACATCTGTGTCCCCCATTCACTCTCCTCCGTATGCTTCCGCCTCCGTCCCTATCCTGCCATGTCTGCGCGTTTGCGCACCTTGGCGAATTCATGCGCGCGGGAGGTCCTTCAACATGTTTGTTGGCATTGAGCGGTCCTGTTGAGCTGGGTGCTGATTTGAACTGGTTTCTGATTTGCTTATCAACTCGCCTTCGGCCCATGCCGCCACCATGCCGGGGTCGTTGGTCAGAAGCTTCTTGCATGCCTGTCAGGAGTCTGCCGACATGCTTCTCCGGCGCCTACTGAAGGCCAGTGTTCAAGCCTCTCGCGGGTTCAGGGGCCGTTGGGGTCTCTTCTGGGCTTCGGGGCCTCTCCGGGACGCGCGAGAGGCCTCGGGGGGGAGGAGGAGGAGGAGGAGGAGGAGGAGGAGGATGAGGAGGAGGAGGAGGAGGAGGAGGAGGAGGAGGAGGAGGAGAGGAGGAGGAGGAGGAGCAGGAGGAGGAGGAGGAGGGCTCGAAACGCGCGTTGGAGCGGCGGCGCCAGCGGCGCCAGCGGCGGCGCCGGCGATGGCGGCACGGGGAGCGCCTGCCCCACTCAGCCTCCGGCGTTGTTTGGCTGGCGCTCCTGCTTCAAACATTGAAAACTCATTTAAACTTCGGGTCTCAAGGCCAAAATCGGACACCTCATTTTCCGCGGGCCTGCCATGGGCCATCGCCGCTCCCCTCGCTGAGACATCAGCCCAGCGGTTGCCTCTAGCCTCGCAACAGTCACTCGAGAAGCGCTCAAAGCTGCCAACAGTCAAGTGGTCCTTCACTTCCGCCGCAGGTATTGCGTTTGTGGCGGGGAGGCGGCTCAGGGGAAGTAGAACAGGTCCAGCATGACAAAATCTCCGATCAGAAACTACTTCCACGACCTGTTTTTTTTCATTTGCTGCCACGAGCCCCTTGTAGTTCGCGCAGAGCTCGGAATCCGAGCGCGCGCTTGCAGCCAGCCAAGAAAGCGACATCTTCCGCAGTAGGGCTTGTCCGAGGCAGCGCAGAGCCAACTCGCCAGACCAGACAACGAAGGGCCCCCCATCGCCCTGAACACACGCACGCACGCGCACGCCCGGCCAGCATGCCGGTGGACTTCGACCTTTTTTATAGCACGAGCCATCGCGGTAGAGCACTTCATCCTTGGACGCTTCCAAAGGGATCAAATCAGGGTCTACACAAATGAAAGTGAACTCACCATTTTCGGAGCCTTCTGGCGGTCTCGAGAGACGCTCAGGATATTGTTTGTGTGTTTCTCTGTTTCTCTGTTTAAACGCATGAGATAGTTCTTCTTATATCCACTGCAGACCATCGCGGACACCTCATCCTTCAAGAGCTCACCCTCTACAATTATGCGACACACAACCACATGCACTACGGTGGAGGCCATCCCGAGGACAGGGACGACGGGGGTAAGGCACGCATTCTGCCATGTAGCCCAGCTGGGCCAAACTCCACTTGGACCACAAGCTCTGCGCGATAAAAGCCCCATGCATGGCGCGTCCAGGCTGCGACGACACACTGCATGGAGAGAGAAGCTGCTCGCGCGCCGCGGCGTCCAAGATCTCACCGGGGCGGCCAAACGTCGCGGCAGCCTCCAGAGACAACATCTGCACCCAAGCCGCCCGAAGATCACGCGGCACTCTGGCCGGGGAAGTCGCGGTTAGCACAACCTCCCGGCCCAGGTGGCCCTCCCAGACAAAGGGGTCGAAGAACTTTCACGACGCCCTCCAGGAGACAAAATCGCCGCCCCAAAATGTCCAAGGCGGATGGTCCAGGATGGGCGGGGCAAGCTCTCTTAGCCGCGGCAAGGAGGGCTCAAATCCAGGACGCGTCGCGGCCTTCCAAGCCAGGTCTGGCCAGGTGATCGCGGGGCCCGAGGCCGGGCGACGCGCGGGGCCCCGGTGGATGAGCGGCGCTCAGGTCCTGGACCTGGATCGACCCGCGCTACCCGCAACCTGCCAAAAGAAGGACTGCGCCGACGCAACTTCCCGAGCGCCCCACCACCTCAGCCCCGTGGTACCCAGGCTGCTGGAGCCCGCCGAGGTACATCCACTGCATGTCTGCGCCCCCCTTCCTCGCTGCAGCCAATCGCCTCTTGCGGCATTGGAACTTCTGATGCGACCTTGGGACAAAACAGCGGCCCCCTTCCTGCATCTCAGCTGGCAACCAGCGGTTACAACGCCTTGATCAGCTGCCGAGCGCTTTGACCGCCACATGCTTACCCATAGCGGTAGTCAAGTGCTTGCGAAGCGACTCACAAGAGGCTACAACAGCGGACTTGGACATGGTAACTCCACACTTCAACTCATCTTGGATGACCTGCAAGACCTGCGCAGACCTTTCCACGGGTTCCGCGCACAAGACGCCTTGGGTCTGAGTGCAGGTTCAAGATCAGCCAGTCATCCATGGATATAGACAAACCAGCGCCACGTACCCTGCCGCAAGAAAAAAACGAACCACTGGATCATACGAGCACCCCTGCGCAAGGAAGGCGAAGGGGCAGCCCGCCAAGATCCCTCGCAACACATAGAAAACTCAAAGGCAGACACGTCTAACTCAAAGAATCTATCAGCCCGAATCATGCTGCGGGCCACTGCTACAATCTGCAACTCAAAGCCTGCAGCCTCTGCCCTGGCCCAAAGCAAAGAAAAACCAATGTGATCGTTATAACTGTGCATGTCGCACGGCAAAATCGGGGTGCGAATTTTCGGGCTTGTCACGCTAGCCGACTCAGTGCAAACATTGCGCACGACCGCAATTCGAAGACCGGGGCGCCTTCCTGATGACAGAGGCTGCTATGCCGATGCGAGCGCGCCTACGATCTGTCCACAACCTTTCGAAGCCTGCCGAAGACCCGACACGGCGACGCATTGTGCCCACTGCCGCGCAGATTGGCCTGGCCTGGCGCGGGCTTCGGGATAATGCAACTCACCGCTGCCTGCAAGACCGAGAAGAAGTGGCCGCGCCGCTCAATGCACCCGCGGAACATAGCTACCAAATTTTACTGCTGATCCGAAAACATCATGTAGTATCGAAGGTGGAAACCGTCATGGGTCTGGGATGTTTCCGCACTGAAATCCGAAAACATGTGTTTCGATTTTCCCAGCGCGGCAAGGGGCGCGGCCTCCCCGTCCTTTGGCTCGACTTCCCACGGGGCGGGGGGGCGGGGGGTCCCTTCTTGAGCTGCTCCAGCCCATCCGCCCCCGCCTCGAGGACGCGCGCGGGCCGCCCTCGCCACTGGCTCGAGCGCTGGTACACCTACCCAGGCTCCCCGAGGCATCCAAGAGAGACTTGAGCTTCCTCGGCGGACTACCCACTGTTTCCAGGACGCAAGGGACATCTGAAAGTACGTTTGAACTTTCTGCTCTCAAAGCGGGCCCCAGGTCCTCCAGGATGGCCTCGGGAATGTCATCAGCGAATTGCGCGTTCAGGGTCTGATGGTCTAAGTCCTGCAAGTCCTGGGGCACCGCTGCCGAGAGCATCTTGGCTCTTTCAAATGAACCACTGAGAGTGGGCACCGATCTAAACTTCGACGGACAGGCTTCCAAGTCTCCCAGCGATGTCCGAAGAGCATCTTCCTGTTCGAGACTGCCGGCAACCGCCTGAGCACATTTTGCAATCCAACGCAACGGCGCGATGCGCGACTTCCCAAACAGCCTGACGAGTTCACAACGATTCTTAAGAAGGACGTGGGTAATCCTCGCCCTGCTTGCCCTCTGAGAGACGGACATCAAGGGGGCACCTGCCACCCTGCCGATGGCGCGCTCGAGTTCCATGACAAGGCCACTGCGCGCAGCATCCCGAGCATCTTGGCGAGTCTCGAAGATGGCGCGATCAGGGGCACTACTCGAGCCCGCACAATACCGCACATCTCCCAGCTTCGAAACCTGGCGTTCTAGAACTTCCCCACGGGGATTCTTCAGAGACGGACCAAAGGGCATGACGTGAGGACTGCGCTGACAATTGCGCGACACTGGGATCGCGCGCTGCTCGCCCGACAAC